TGAAAACACCCTTTGTGTCAACACATAAGAAAAACATAATTATATTGGTGGAATTGTTGGCTAGCAGAATAGGCTTCTCAAAGGATAGGGTCTTCAGACTTCCAGCTGGGATTCTGCTGAGTGTTGTTTGTTTTTTAGGAACCCTGCTGGTCCTTTGCTGCTCTACAAATGCTGAAAGTATGAAGGCAGCCAGTGTGGAGTAATTAAAAGACTTCTCAGAATGTTTTAGTAAAAGCTGAGAATACTAGACATACTGTAACGTAAGAACAGCACAGAAAGAAGTTTGCTATTTTGTTCTACTTCAGCTGTGTTAATTTGTGAGAGATTAACTTTATTTCACACAAAGAGGGTTTCGTGAATGTTTCTATTACTTTTCATTTTCTAGGAGCACCTGCAAAGGAGGCATAATTTATAATGCTATCAATAATGTTCTGTAAAAGTGAATGGAATTTTTTGGCAGCAACTGTGTGAACTAATGCTTTATCATATACATTATATTAGGAACTTTCCTCTGAAAACATGACAGATGCACCATATATAGATATACACACACAGTCCCCTCATTTTTATCTTTCCTTATTATTGGTACAGGTTCTCCTATATCAGTTTGATCCAATTGGGAACAGAGGAATGGATTTGTCATTTCAGAACCATGTCCACAAGCCAGTACCTTCCTGCTCCATGGGTGAGGCAAAAGGTAGTGCTTCAGAGCACTGTTCCCAAGAAACCAAATAAATCACACCTATCCTTGGCCAGAAGCTAGGGGGCATGAATCACTATTGTCTTATTGCCAAGTATACAAAATGAGTTAATCCAGATAAGAGCATTTTGGCAAAAGAAAAGATGGGAGGTTTTGTTTTTGTCCCCCCACCCGCCCCAAATGTTAATCAGATCCCTATTAATGTTAAAAGTGGTGCTAGTACATAAATGAGTAGGCAACAAGTGGCAAAAGTCAAAAAATAGAATTAAGATAAATCAGATATTATCACCTGTTACAGGTAGCATTCATTAAATGTTCAAAACCAAGAAGAATTCATAAAAATAATTAAATTATCCCATTTCTGAGCTTGTGAAACTTAAGCAGAATTGCAGCATTTCTTCAGACTGCTTTGCATTTTCCCTTTTTTCTTTCTTTTGCATGAAATATATCTGAAATCAGAAAAGTTCTTTCCATTCAAGAAATGATAATTTGACCCATTTTACAAAGAGACAGACTGAGGCAGTCAGCAATGTGCATGACAAGGCTTGCACTCTAGCAGATATATACTTAGCTTTAACACTGTTTTTTGCTGTAATTGTTTTAAGGCCACTTGCCCTTAATGAGTATATCCAGACAAGCTCGCACATGCCTCTTGCTGCATCTCAACGGAGTTTGAGATGTGGGAAGAAGCATACTGGAAATAAAAAAACATTTCCTGAACTGCATATTTGCAGTGCGGGCTAAAAATTTTATACCAGGATTTCCAGGTATCCAAAAAAAAAAACGCCTGGAAAAAAGTGGGGCAGGGCATGGTCCAGGACCATGCCCTGAAGCAACCAGGGGCTTGGGTCATCCAAAGAGACACTTTGGTAGGTGGCCAGACCATCTCTATGCCTGCCCCTTGCCCTGATGCTGCAGCTTGCTGCCTGCCCATGTGGGGCAAACTGCGATGTAAGCAGCAGCGACCCAGATGTGGGCTCCGTTCTAAGTAAGTAGCGGGTTGAGGGGGTTGGGGGGGCAGATTCAGAGGGATGGGTCCCCTGCCCACACCCCTCAGGGCCCACATGCCCTCCCCCCGCATGGCCCAGAGCTCACCTGCAGCAGCCATTGGGGTGCTTGGGGCCCTCCTAGCACAGCCCCCCAACGTGGCTTGGCCCCAGCTGCCTGGTACCTAGTGCTGCTTCTGCCATATCATGCAGGCCTGGCCTTCGGGCAGCTCCAGGCCGCTTGAGCTGTCACTCGGGGCCCTGCACAAGTCATGGGCACTTGTATGAATGGAACTGGCCCAGCCCAACAGCATGTGGGACCTGTGCATGCAGGACCTGGCCCAGCGTGACAGGTGGTCCCCGCAAGTGGTGCGGAGCCCTGGGTGAAATCCTGAGTGGCCTGGAGCTGCCCAAAGGTGCACAACACTGAACCAGACTGGGTCCATGTGATATGGCAGAGGCAGTGAAGGGTGCCAGGCAGCCAGGGCCAAGGCATGCTGCCCCATGCCTCATGGAGGGGCTGTGCCAGGAGGTCCCAAGCACCCCAATGGCTGCTGCTGCTGCTCTTGCTGCATCTGAGCTGTGGGCTGTGTGGGGGAAGGCTGTGGGCTCTGCAGGGGAAGGAAGTGCATGTGCTGGGGGGAGGGGCGGGCTGTGCCCTGTGGGGGGGTCAGGAGACCCACCCCTCCTGAGCAGCCCCCCACACACAGTCCCCCACAAACCCCACACCTACCAACACACCCCATACCCACTCACATCCCCCTCCTACCCCCTCCTGCATACCCCACATCCCCACATCACACACCCATTGTGCCCAGCTGCCAGACAGGAGCTGTGGCTACAGGGGCAGCTGTCCCCGCATCCTAGTTAGTGAAGGGGTCAGGGGGATCTCTAACTATTCTAGGATAAGAAAACCAAAAGTAAACATCAAAACATAGATATTTAGAATGTATTTCATTAGGATGATAGAGACACTGTTAGGCTTCCAAATTGCTTTAAAATTGTAAATATAATTGTGGAAGAACATGGATTTTGGAGTATTTTAAAGAGTGAATGTGAGATTTTATTTTCAGAGATTTTGCAGTTTTTAAATAGTCAACACCAGAATTCCTGCCAGGGAGGCAAGTGGCAGGACCCAGACAGAGGAGCCTGCTCAGGACTGGCACCTGGGGCACAGCTGAAGGTGGCTGACCTCCTGGCCACTTGGGGCCAGGAGGACATGCTTTGACAGTTCAAAGCAGGCCATCACACTGGGAACATCTTCCAGGCGATAGCTGCCCAGATGACAGGGCGGCAGCACACATGGCAGTAGTGCCATACAAAGGCCAGCTGTGCAGCCACAGCCCACTGGCAGCTGGCCCAGAGGTGCATATGCCTATGCTAGAGCTGTGCAGTTTCCATCTGGGTCTGGCAGGTGTGCAGCCTTGGGGCCACATGCTGTCACAAGTGCACAGCAGGTCACAGCCAGGCAGCAGCTCCCACTGCCAAACTGCTGCAGTGGGTAGAAGGTGCAGGAAACTCTTGGTTAGGGCTGCTTCAGCAGTCCGTCTAGCACAAGGGGCTAGTGTCCCCAAATACCAATTGGCTCGGCTTAAAAAGCTCCTGAGAGCAAGTAGCCCTGAGCTGCTTTCCAGGGCAGCTTTTTGTACTGCTGGGGCCAGGACAGGGCAGGTTTTAATACTGCTGGGGCCAGCACAGGCACTGGCCCCCAAGCTCTAGCTCCTCCTGGCTGCAGATCCAGCAGGGCTATTTTGCCTCAAGTGGTACAAATTTGCCCCACACCAAAATGCATGTCCTGGCACGTGCACTGAGGCAAAAATCCCCGGCTCAAATTTGCGCTGCTCCTATTTGAGCTGCTGCAAGCACGTGTGCCTGCATGTGTGGATGTAATGTATCTTAATTTCCCTGTAAAATATGAGCTGATCATATTTACTCACCACCTGAAGGTATGGTGAAACTTAACTAAAAAAACTCTGTGCGCTAATTAAGTAAACAGGATTATGAAAATCCCTCAATGACGATTACAGGACTAAAACTCAGAAATTCTTGCGTCACAATGTTCTCCTTCCATCCCTAAGATGGACAGCTTTTGCTTCAGGATTTTGAATAGAACCCGTTTTTTTGTGTGTCCGCCTAAACATTTCCTTTTTTTCATGGAACTGCATGTAAAACAGTAACTTCGGGGTTACAAATGTCTTCTGGAAAAGATGTGATCTGGAAAAATAGTCTGCCTGGATTTTTCATTAAACCATTTTTCATTAATTTCTCCAATGTAAAGGGCAGATAGGATTTTTTTTTCAATATGGTGGTCTCTCTGAGATGGAGTTGTTTGAACTACCAATTTCCAGCAGTTGCCAGATAGTGTCCAAAATCATAAGCACCTCTCAGACCTACCAGAAAATGAAAGACCTCCACCAAAATAACACTTTAAGTGACCATCAGAGAATAGCTGTATTTTTATGTTCTTCTATTTTTTTACAAACGGTTGGAGTTGCAGAGTTACAAACTTTTTAATGGGGAAATGTTATCTGAGGCCAAGCTGTCATAACAATATGAAAGACTCATTGTCATTCCAACTGGGGCTTTCAATCAGCTTTAGTTGATAGAAACTCTCCAGTAGTTTTAAGGACATGGGCAAGACTTGGATTTTTTTTTTAATTGTAACCTGGTGTTTTATTAATTTGTGTGAATACTGTAAGATTAAGCCTTTTAATAAAACTATGCTGCAGGCAAGATCATATTGTTATCAGAAATCTTTTATGCATGATATGGGGTGCTAATAATATGCTAGGTTCAAAAAGAAAAATAACTATACTTTTACTGCAGGAGTTAAGTGAGATCTGACAGGAAAAGACTGACAGATTTCTTGCTGCTAATGAGAATGGGAGGCACTCACCAGAATACTAGAATCAAGTCTTGCAACTGTAGATGTGCAAACTTTACATTTAATTATCAATCTGAAGTGCAATTGCAGAGGATTATTTAACTCATGGACAATCTGGAAAACACAGTAATTTAACCCTGCTATAGCTGACAGCTTCTCACAATAAGGTAAAAGAAAGATGTAGCTTAAGCACTTGGGCCGCTCCCAACAAACACCAGCCTGTTTGCTTCCTCCTTTCCTTATGGCCTGAACTCAACAGAATTTCTGACAACCTGTTTTGTTTCAATTGCACCTTCACAGGGTGGGGGTTTGTGCTGGGAAATAAAACAAGGCTGCTATGGCAACAGGGCCATTAGCTAATCCTTTTTACTTGTTAGCATCACTTTCTTCCTGTTTTTATTCTCAATTAAACACCCTTTTTATTTTGAAGAACTCATGCTACATGTTCCAGTGCTGACTCTCTGGAAGAGAAATCCCTGACTGCCAGAGCTCATCTCCTTTGTGAACAAGCCCAAAGTCTACCCTTGCTTACACCATAGTAAATACCAAGTAACTCCAATATTTGCAAGTATGATGAATATCAATAACATTGATTGTGATGTGCACCACTGTAAACCAAAGCAGAATTTGGTCCCTTAGGGAGATTAGCATTTGATTCATTTGGTTATTTTCTTCTTCTTTCTTTTTGTCACTGAAAATTTTGTTACAGTGTCCTTAATCATCTCTGTGCCAATGATATACTAGATATAACCATCAGATGCCCTTCTCCATTGCTGCCAGCAATACCTACTGCATCCTGCTCTTCCTTGACTTGAATACATTTAAAACTTACAGATTTTTTTCAGCAGTCAGGAAAAGATTAAATGACACAGTTGTGTTATGCAAGGTAGTATTGGCTAGATGAAAGGCACATGCTTTTCTTTAGCAAACCAGGGATGTACAGAGTTCCTAATAGCTGCAAGGTTTTGTTTCATCATCTGCTTTCCCCGAGTATCAGCTGCCTCTTGGGACTTGGAGGGAACAAAGATAGTTCCCACTCAATTAATCCTCTTCTGAGCACTTTTGTCCAGCACTTTTGAACATGTGACTGACATTTTAATTTATCTTCCCACGTACACAATGAGAAACCTTCTCCAGGTCAACTGCCAGATATCTCAGAGAAACAATATGGTTCCCATCCAAGAGCAAATCTGTTTCTTCTAACAGTTGGATATTGCTTATAAATGCTCTGGGAATATATGACAGTACTGTATCTGCACCTGCAATGATATGGCACAGGTAGCTGGCCCTCACAGTGGCACACTCGCACAGTGCCAAAAGAATATTGAGAGGCAATACAAGTGATTAAGAATTTCCGCTCACCTCTGAATGCACATATTAGGCCTGTCCCCCTGCCCCTAGTACTTACCAGCTCAGAGTCAGCTGCAGCTCCCTGCTGCAGCCACCAGGACTGCCCAAATCATCAAAGCTCTCTGAATCTTTTCCGAAGATTTGGAGAGCTTTGAATTGATTCCGACCTTTAAATTGGTCCCTTGATTCGATTCGGATTCGGAGATTTGGCCACCGAACCAAGCCAGATTTCCTCCGAATTGAATCACCACCCAAAGTTTTGCATAGCCCTAGCACATATGCATAATGTCAGCAAAAAAGCAAAAAGAATAACTTCACCAAAAATAATAATTTTTTTCTGAGTAAAGCACGTTTACTCTCTCATACTCAGCCTAACATAAATGTATTTTCAGCAGTCTACCAAGTGCACATCTGGGCCAACTTCCTATCCTTAAATATACCTGTGTAAATTCACAGCAATTTAATCTGAATTTCTACTAACTGTAACTGACTGTAGCCCTATATCTTATCAGGTTTCACAAATCTCCCCAATTTCGCAACTTCCCACTGAAGTACCAGTAGCCTTAATTAAAAAGTTAAGGCTATGTTACGATGTATGTTACAATGATATTGTAAGTGGTGTGTGTGCGTCTGTCCGTCTCTTCATCCCCGCTCCCTGTTCTTTTTTACTTGAATGAGCAATTTTGCTCATGCTTTCCAAAACTAAAAGTTTTCTCACACACATTTTACCCTGAAAAATAGCATTTGAGAAATTCTAGGCAACAAAAATAGGTCCACCACACTGAAATGTTATAGTTTCATATGAGCTAACGGATATGTGGGGACATTTATATATCTTCAATAATGTGTTTAGAACTATAGAAATCAGGGCTAAAAGAGAGGTCCTTGGTTACTGATTCCAGTACTCTGCTGTTTCAGATATCCACACTGTATAGTTCAATTCATCTTCTTACCAAATGTGTCACTTCTGTTAAGACATACAAAAAACTAGAACTCTTGGTTCCAAAATGACCTTTTATTAGGCCAACTGGGAAATCGCAAAAAAATTGTCCTTTTCTGCAAGTTTTCAGGATCAAAGTCCCCTTGTCAGGCTCTGGGAACAAGGTGGTACAAGATGGTAAAAAGTCCCCGTAGGTAGGAAATAAGCTTCATTTTTGCACAGAGGAAGCTGAAGATGGAAGGCTATCCCTCTGGGTCCATGAGAGTGCCTCTGTGAGTTGTTCTGAATTGCTCTTTGATGTGTAGATCAGGTAGAATTCCTTCCCTAGAGATGTCAGATGGCAGGCAGGGAGGTAAAAAATCTTTCTTGTTGTTCTGCAGTGAAGTTTAAAATCCAAAATTGGCTAAAATTCACTATTTTCCATGTTTCAGGGGTGTATTTGGTAGCTGTCTTGGTCTGAGACAAAAAGACATACAAAAAACTAGTACTCTTGGTTCCAAAATGATACCTTTTATTAGACCAACTGGGAAATCGCAAGAAAATTGTCCTCACTTCTGTTAAGGAAGTTTTACAGGAGCAGCATGTCATGGACCACATTATCAGTATGCCGGAAAAAATGTCAGTTGACTTTTGCATGCATACAGGGCTGGAAAAGTCCTTTGCTCTTTTTTCCTTATCACATAGCTGCTATTTATCTTGCCTCAGTTACCATATGTGAAAGGGAAGCTTTAAATCAAACAGTGTGCTAAGGACCATGAGAAAATGGAACTTGGTAGGATTTAAGAACTGCTGCTTCCCCTTTTTTCTTTCTGCCTTCACTTTTGACGATCCCAAAAGGGTGAGATTTATTAAAAGAAAGGCCCTTGAATCTTCTTTTGACTTCAGCACATATTGTCCTCTAAAGACTTGATTTTTGTTAATATTCCATATATTAGCTCTTTGGCTCTCATTGAAAAGTAAGGCACATTTTATTTTAATATCTCTGTAAACAAAGAAAATTCTTCTGACATAAATTGATTTATTTAATCAACTCCAATGGGATCTTTAGAACATATAACCTGCCTGAATGTGAATTTTTTATTGTTGGCTCTTTAGTATGTTTTCAAATATCTTTTGAATACGTGATACAATTGGACTGTGTCTTATTACCATTTACTGTTCCCTTGCGTACTTAGGAAAAAAATCAATGTCTTGTTCAAGGTTTTCCTTCTTTTATAACCTTTATACCCATTACCATTAGATTTTCTTCAATTCCTTTTCTTTATCATCCTCTTCCTAATTCCCTTTCTTCCATCAGGATGTATTATGTCCTTTGATTTCAATACTTACTAAAAGGACACTGGTTGAAAAGCACAGATTTTTAATGAACCAAGGCTTGGGGGTTTTGTAGTTGTTTTGTTTTTGTTTTTTGTTAGTAACCTCCTTATCTAAAGTGGGACTAAATCAGACATGTTTTCCATTAATTATTATGGGTTTTTTTGTTTTCTACTTTACTTAAATAGGATGACATAGAACATAATTGGGCAAAGAAAAATATTTAAGATATCTCTGAGTACACATTTGCCTCTTTTGTAAATGTTCATGTGGAAAAGTTTGTCTTATACATATATAGGAAGAATGCAAAATTCAATCTGATGCACTTATGAATGAGCTAGTTTTGATTCTTTAGATTCTTTCTTCATGCTTACCCATCTTGAGAACAGGGAACATTATCTTGTGATACCTTGTAACCAATCAAAAAGCGTAAGGTGAAATATTCACAGAAAATTACTATTCTAAAGTCATCCATTGAGTTTCACAGATAGCATGTTCAGATATGTCAAAAGCAAAAGAATAGGTTTAGTTCATCAAATTATTATTGTTAATTATTTGGTCAGGACTAATGAAAATAGATTACTTCGATTACAGTCAGTTTCACTCAATGCTTCTTATGCACTTGCATAGTGCATTGGGTTACAAACCACAGAGAAATATTCAATTTTGAACACAAGGGTATTTTCAATTATTTTTAATTAAAACTCCTGACACTGTTTATTCATTGTTAATATTTTCTGTTCTGTCCACAAAGAAAATATATATACTTTAGACTCCATGGCTTTTACTATAAATTAAGGGAAAAACAAGAAAAGTAAAGCGTAGGAGATTGTGTATTTGTCTCTTCAGTAATACAATGAATCAGCTCTGCCTCACAAAATGGTAACTATAGCTTCAGGCAGACATTTCTTAGACAATGAATGTACCATGATGCCTAATGATGTACACACCATCTAAACATATTATAAAATCAGCAACTGTATTTTGCTACCCAGGGCCATCCCTAGGGGGGGTGAGCGGGGCAGCTGCCCTGGACCCCGTGCTTTGCAGGGCCACACGGACAGTGCTACACGTGCCCTGCCATCTCTGCTGCACACTGCTGGCTCTGCTGCGGCTGCCGTGCACTCCCTCCCTGGCCCCGTACAGGCTGATATGCCCCGGGCCCTGCACACCCCTAGGGATGGCTCTGTTGCTACCTGGAAACAAACATTTGTGGGTCCTAGATCTTAAACACTCTCCCTGCATACTCTTACATACTTCATACTCTACTTTGCTCTGCTTTGAAATCTTTTTGAAGCTGGAAAGTGTTGTTGGTTTTGTTCTTATTGCTACTGCAAAATATTATGGCCATGTCTTAAACTTCTCTAGAGAAATGCTTTGGGTTGTGGGAGGATTGCAAAGGAAGGGCTTGAGCAAGTGTGACATCAATGACTAGTCAACATTAGCAAAAATATTCATGTTAGAGCTTTAGTTAGATTATCAGCAACTAACACAGTATACTTCTTATTCCCAGAAATAGGTTGGAGATCCAGGGCCCTCAATCTATGAGGAGAAATTGAGGGCTCTGGATCTCTTCACACAAGAGAAGGCTGAAATGCGATCTTGTAGCTGCCTACAAATTCATCAGTAGGGGACAGCAAGGGATAGGAGATGCTCTGTTTACCAGGGCACCCCTTCGATTAACGGCCACAAACTGACAAAGAGCAGATTTAGGTTAGACATCAGGAAGAGCTTCTTTATGGTGAGAGGTGCCAGAACCTGGAATGGGCTTCCAAGGGAAGTGGTGCTTTCCCCTACCTTGGGGGTCTTTAAGAGGAGTCTAGACATGTACCTGGCTGGGGTCATCTGACCCCAGCACTCT